GAACAAATGGTGACTAGTAACCTAAATCTGAAAACATTTCCATTTTAATAGAGAGACAAGGTGGGTGAGGTAATATATTTTATTGGACCAACTTCTGTTGGTGAGAGAGACAAGTGTTCAAGTTTACACAGAGCTCTTCTTCTGCTCTTGCTCTGTGTAAGTTCAAAAGTGCTCTCTAATAGCCTGGGACCAACATGGCTACAATTCTCCATTTTAATAATCAGCTGTAAATTGTTTTACACACTTAAAATTTTAGGTGCATTACCCCTGTCTTTAGCTCCTTTTATGTGCTAGCCTTTGCTGCCATCTTGAAACAAAATCCATGCTGTTGACACAGATAGCAGAGTGCTGTAGACTGCCTAAGAATAACTTGGAAAAGAAAACAAACGTAAAGTTCCAGTAACATATCAAAGACTAGTACTGTATGTGACTCTTCAAGCTTGTACATTTTGTAGGCCACTCCAAAAGTGTAAAACTGCAAAGAAATTTAATCAGATTCTACTACTTCCCTTTTTTTGTGGCCAAGTCTCACTTAAATGCAAGTCCTTGCTTCTGTAAATAAGATTTAGTGTAGGAGTCTTAGAAGGCTGTGGGATTGGAAGGGTTGTATTGATTCTTTGGGGTATTCTGGTATATTCAGTCATAGATTACAAGACTGTATCAGATAAATTAAGGCTACCCTTCATCCTTGAATGTCTTATCATTTTATTCATAATGACCTTTGCCTTGCTGACAGGAAAACATATTTTTAAAAGTTAATTGGGATGCAAAATGTTGCTTTTTTAAAAAAAAATTTAAGCTTGCTTACTTATGCCTTTTCTGACAAAAGAATCAGTAGTCAAAAGGCAAAGTGGAAGGAGCAGCTTGGGGTACTACCCACAGTATAGTTGTTATATGTGCAAAACTGTGTTCATATGCAGCTCTTAAAATGGATTTCCTGAACAGTGTGTACACTTTTTCACTGTGCCAGCCAAACTCTGCTATATACTAGATTATCCGTTCTTTATAGTCTGTATTGCATCTGTTTTGACATGTTAGGAAAAATACTATTTGTAATGCTCAGGAAAATCCAGGGTGGTCTGATCCTAAATCATTAATGGTCTGGAGAGAGCTGGCTGGTTATGTAGTATTGGCTGCTGGCATTTTGAGCTGCTAACTAGACTAAAAGAAGCTAAAAATAAATAATAAAATCCTGGTATTACCCTTCAATATAAATAATTTTCAGTAGTTGCCACATGAATGATATGTGATTGCCAGTGGGAGAGGAGACTGTGTGTGATTGTGGATAGGGGAAGTTGTTCTACACAGCTGTGGCTGGCAAGAGGACAGTGGTCCATTACACTCTACTAAGATGTGAGCTATGGTATAGAAATAGCTTTAATCCCTGACTTTAGTCAAGACAATTTAACTGTTTTAATCAGGATTTAAAAATGGATAAAATTGCTAATCTAATTTTTATTTAATCTTAAAATTAATTGTTGGGTATCAGATCTGAACTCTTTCTGTGATTAAACAATGAGGTTATTGCATTATTCAGACTCTTTATCTTTAATTACCTTTTATAACTGTTATTTAGAAAGTGTCTGTTTTAGGATTAGTGCCAAGTAAAAATAGTTGTTGTTTATTTACTAAATAGAGTTCATCAAAATGTATAAGCCACATTGTTAGAATTAAACTGACTAGATCAGCATGTTAGAATATCTAGTATTGGCCTAAAATAAAATTCTCCTGAATTAGTCTTGTAAAATTCTACTTGCTTTTTGCTTCAGGTGAAGAAATTATTTTTCATAAGTGTGTGAAATATTTTAAAATATGATAAAGGAAGGACAAACATCCTCTGCCCTGACTTAAAATTGTAACTCATCTGTGGGGGAGGGGGAGCCAAAAATAATGGATCACAGTACAAAATGAAGGATATTTTTATTTAAGTAAAGGTACTAGGACAAGTATCAGAGGGGTAGCCGTGTTAGTCTGAATCTGTAAAAAGCAACAGAGAGTCCTGTGGCACCTTTAAGACTAACAGAAGTATTGGGAGCATAAGCTTTCGTGGGTAAGAACCTCACTTGCATCTGAAGAAGTGAGGTTCTTACCCACGAAAGCTTATGCTCCCAATACTTCTGTTAGTCTTAAAGGTGCCACAGGACCCTCTGTTGCTTTTACACAGATTCAGACTAACACGGCTACCCCTCTGATACTTGTCCTAGTACCTTTACTTAAATAAAAATATCCTTCATTTTGTACTGTG